CACTGCATTCCCAGCTTTCTTCCCCCTGCATTCCCAGAGGAGCAGCTTTGATCTTTGGACCAGTGGGGTTGGAGAGGTGGTAATTCCATCCTCCAATCCACGGTCACCTTTGGAATTCTATAAATTCCAGATGTTTGAATAAAACTGGATCTTTTTCTCTTTTGAACTTACCAAGCTTCTGTGTGCTCATTCAGTGCCCAACAGCGACACGTGTGTATTTTTAATTTTCTTAGTAAAGAGCTGTTATTCCTACTCCCACACCTTTGCCTGGGAGCTCCTTAATTTCAAAATCATAATAATTCGGAGGGAGAGGGTTTGAATTTTGCATTCCAAGGGAGGCTCCCGCCTTACTCAGCATCCCCATCCTTCCAAACCAAGACGCTGGCTGCCGAGCCGCTCCAGCTCGGGAAAATCGAGGGACAGGGTTGGTTTTTCCGTGGGGGAAAAGCATTGCGGCATTCCCAGCCGGAATTACCTGCTCTCCCTTGAGGGCCTGGTGGATGGTGAGGTTCCTGTTGCCGTGCATGTCGAAGAGGATGACCTTGCCCGTGTGGTTGAAGCGCGGCGCTCCGGCCACGTAAATCCGCTCACGCTTGGCGGAGACGACGGAGGAGACGGTGTAACCTGGGGAGGGATGGGCACGGAGTGAGGATTCCCTGCCTGCTCCCAGGACCTGGAGCTTTCCATCGGCTCCCAGCTGCTGACACGGCCACTTCCCAAAGAGGGGAGCTGAAAAAACCTGGATTTTTGCGAAGATGAAATCGCCCACGTGGACCCCAGCGCTGCCGCGGTTCTGCCACAGCCGGGGCTGTGCCGGGAGTTTTAGCACTGCCTGATTCCCACTTCCCATGCAAATCCTTCTTTTATCCAAGGTGAATCCGATTCCCGCAATTCCCGGAATTCTGGGGTGTTTTATTCCGTGGCTCACATCAAGCTGGGCAAACCCTCTGAGGTGCTGAGTGTTGGGAAGGTGCAGCTTCTGCTGCTCCGCTCCTCTGGGAACACCAGGAAAACTTTCCTGGTGCTTGATGTCAACATTCCCAGCCCAAGAAAAGCCACGAATCCATCAAAACCATTCCTCCTGGTGGAAATAACCCTGCCTAAGCCAACCACCCTGCTCAGTCCCTTTTTCCTGCTGGGATCAGCCCCTGGGCTGCGGCACTTCCAGATGGGATTTTGTAGGAATATAAAGCTGGGGCTGCCAAATCCCAGTTTTTAACCCCAAGTCCAGGTTCCTGAACCTTCAGGCTCAGGTTTAAATTCCAATTAAATCCTTAGAAGTGGGAACGGGATGCCCAGAGAAGCTGTGGTTGCCTCATCCCTGGAATATTCCAATCTCAGGCTGGATGAGGCTTGGAGAAGCCTGGGATAGGGGAAGGTGGAATGGGATAAGCTTTAAGTTCCTTTCCAGCCCAAATCATTCCAGAATTCTGGAATTCTATGGAACTCAAAAGTCTGGCTAATCATGAAACTGAATCACGTTCCCTGGGATCACATCCAGTTGAAATTTGAGCATCTCCAGGGATTTCCAGACCACTTTCACTGCTCACCAGCCTGACCTGGGGTCCCCCTTTCCCTAAAAATTCTCCTCCTGGAGGGATATTCCCAAACCAACCATCAGCCCTGAGTCCCCCCGGCTGCTCCTCAGCGGGATCCACCAACATTCCTTAATATTCCCAGATTTCTCACTGCAGGCAGCGGAAAAGAGAGCCCAGCTGAGCTCCCGCAGCGATTCCCACGGGCCATCCCAGCTCCGGGGGACACCCTGCTGTCACCCCACAGCTGATCCACGTGTCCCCATTCCCAGGGAAGAGCCTCAGGCGCTGATCCCACAGAATCCCACCTCTCTCCCCGACACATCTCCGAGGAGAGGCTGCGTTTCACAGTCCAGGCTGATATTTTTATCCCAGAGCTCCAGTGGCTGCACATGGAACGGATTAACCCAGCAGGTATTTCCTGCCTAGGCATGAAATTCCATCGGAGCTTTGAAACCGTTCCAAGAAAAGCTGCGGATAACCCGCTGGCTCGGCTGCTCCTGAATTTAAATCCCATTTGTGCCCCGCTCCGGGGTCGGAGCCGGGCTCTTCCCAGGTGAGGATGCTCCTGTGCTGCATCTCCCATGAGGAATATCCCGTGCTTCCTATTTTTTAAGGATAAAATCCCGAATTCCCTCTCCGTGACACCGTGGCCTCGTTGAGCTTTCCCACCTAAATAGGCTCCGTGGTTTTTCAGCTCCTCCGGGAATTCCTGCAGGTAGGATTCCCGCAGAGGAATCACCTTCCCACTGCTGGTCTCCTTCAGGACGGCTCCGTTCCAGTCGTAGGCTCCCACTGCTCCCAGCAGGATCCCGTCCTGTGGGAAAACGGGAATGCTTTGGTGGGATTTCTTCCCAGATGGAGGCGACCCCATCCCTCTGATCCCACACAGACCCTTCTTCCAAGAACACCGGGAGTGCTGGAGGGTTTTAAAAATGCTGGAATGACACTTCCAGCCTCTTTCTGCTTTCCCAATGTGGTTTTTTCCCCACAGGAAATTTCTCCATGAAGATCCCAGCGTGTCCTTCCCAAGAGGTCATGGCATTGGGAGGATCTGCTGCAGATCCTAAGGGATGCTCGGGTCTCCCAACACCTCCTGTCCCACGGGATAATCCAGCAGCACTTCCTTATCCTCCTGTTAATTATTTAACTCCGTAATTAATAATTTGTCCCAAATCCCAATCTCCCACTTGGAGCGGGGGCAAAAAAAAAAAAATTCCACTATTTCCCCACTTACTTCCACAACGTGGGATGAAAATCCAGTCTGGGACATTTCCAGTCCAAAGGAGATCTCGTTCTTGTTGGTTCCTTAGAACAGAAACAAAAAATGGAATTTGTGTTTCATGGAGAGTTTTCCTTTCCGGGAAGGGCGGAGCCATGGTGGGTTCCCATCCCATTCCAGCCCCGCCGTGGCCAGGGACACCTTTCCCTATCCCAGGCTGCTCCCAGCCCCATCCAGCCCGGCCTTGGACATTCCAGGGATCCAGGGGCAGCCACAGCTGCTCTGGGAATTCCATTCGTGCCCCTCCCCACCCTTCCAGCCAGGAATTCCTTCCCAAAATCCCACCCATCCCTGCCCTCTGGCAGTGGGACCCATTCCCTGGGTCCTGTCCCTCCATCCCTTATCCCAAGTCCCTCTCCAGCTCTCCTGGAGCCCCTCCAGGTGTTGGGAAGGGTTCTGAGCCCTCCCTGGATCCTTCCCTTCTCCAGGGAACATTCCCAGGGCTCTGAGCTCTCCCTGGATCCTTCCCTTCTCCAGGGAACATTCCCAGGGCTCTGAGGATTCCCTGGATCCTTCCCTTCTCCAGGGGAACATTCCCAGGGCCCTGAGCTCTCCCTGGATCCTTCCCTTCTCCAGGAGAACATTCCCAGGGCTCTGAGGATTCCCTGGATCCTTCCCTTCTCCAGGGGAACATTCCCAGGGCTCTGAGGATTCCCTGGATCCTTCCCTTCTC